TGATAGCTGCAAATCTTGTTACAATTTCTGTGATTTTAATCAATTTTCGTGAAAACGTGAGTAACTTATAGACGATATGTTTGCCGTGAATACCAATACTAATGGGTGTTATTAAACCCGAAAGCATATAAAATACGCACAAATCCCGCGGTTTTATACCTCGACTATAGTTATAGTAATTGAGTAGTTGCGAGGAAATAGCCATAATTCCTAGTATTATGAATAAAGTAGACATTTGCTTGCTAATACCCATAAAATAGGTATCATCGCCAATCATAGCATAAAATGTGGGATTTTGTTCGGGAATTATAATTACTATTAAAGACCGCAATATATATTCAATTAATATAAACCAAAACACAACAAACGGTCGATGAATGAGTGGTCTGTTTGTGGCATTCAGTGGCTTATAGAGTGAGAGACCTATACTGTAGAGGTGAGTACCGGCCCTCGCAATCGCCAATGAACTAGGTAACACTTTATTTAATTTAATATTGTTTACTGGATTAATCTTCATAATTTACTATATTTAATGATAAAATTTATAAAAATATTTTGAATATAATACTTTAACTTTACTGTTATTTTCTACGCAATACTTTGTGATATAAAACTATGTGCTACTTCTATAATATTATACTGTATGTTAGTTAATTGTCCATTTATATAAAAATAACTATATTGAATTACATTGTGTTTTTTGTGTGTGCTGTAATTACTAAGTGACCCAGAATTAATTGTCTAATTAAATATAATATAAGCACTGCCATAAAATTAGTTTGTTTCTGTGCAAAGGTTTTCCATTAATAATATATTCATATTATTTCCAATAATAATAATATCAATTATGTTATATTCATATTAATATTCAATATTATTTGTATTTATTATGAATAAACTAACAGATGTTGATCATTATTTTGGGAATTTTAACCTTGATATAATATTAAATAAAATTGCATTTTCATAATTATCTATTTGAATACATGACTTGGCATAATAATTTACGTCTAGACAATCTATAAATATGAAACATGAATTAACATTTCAATTGTAATAAATTTATCTATTTAAAATGTACTCATATAAAACTGTATATATGATTTTTAAAATTTTTATAAATATAATTTTACATCAATAATTATTGCTAATAATTAGATAGAATAAATGTAACAAGTGCAAAGCCAGCAAATAAAATAAATAAATTAGCTTTAATATACGACTGTCCATTATCATAATAGCCATGCCCACGACACCAGTTAGCAGTGTAGTCCCTGGGCACACCATCAACAGTAATGTTTATATCTAATCTGATGTCGTCCCACATACGGTCGACCTCCGATTGCTGGTAGGATGTGCAACTTGCCTAGTACAAATAAATTGATAATAAAATTATTATTGTTTAATTAACTGTTACAATTATAAACGTTTTTATACAATGTTTTTAATAATGAAAATATGATAAATAATTTATGTATAGCATTTGAAAACTAATTTAAAATAAAATGTAATAGGTACTGTATATAATAATCAAATAATATAATCTATTAAAAATACTATTTATAAATATAACTTACATAGTTATTTTTGACACAGTCTAATAACATGTACAGTGACTTGCACAAATAATAATCCTCAAACCCGGTTATTGTTGTCTCGCATGATAATGAATCAAGGCAATTTTGAGCATCCTGGTCACTCATTAAATTGGTACCGGGTTTTAGAAAATTTTTATTTATTGCTAGTTTAGCAATTTCGTTTTTATCACTTGTTACCATATATAAACAAATACAAACAATTACAATTGTTATTAAATTGTTCATTATAAATATAATGTAATATTTAGGCAATAAATTGTAATATAACTTTTTAAATTTATTGTTTATTAGTATGTGTTACTTGTAATTTAAGTATTGTTTTTCAATGTATTGTATTACTTATATTATTATTATCACACTGATAAGACATTACAATACTACTAGTATTAGATAAAAATTATTTATCAATATAGTTAATAAGAGTTTATTATAAACAATACAATTACACTTACAGTATTTAATGAAATATTTCTCAGTATTTTATATGAAATATATTTATATAAGAAATAAATGCAATAAATGTTTTACATTGTGTATTATATAATAAAATTTTATATTTATAATCAACGCTATAATATCATTATATTTTTGAGTTTTAATAATAAACAAGTTATTTTAATAGCTTTATAGGTCAAAAGTTATGACAAATACGCTATAATCAAAAATGTATTTATTAGTAAATAGTGTGCTAATTAATAAAATAATGTATTTTTAAAAACCAAAATAATTCAAATCACTAAGCAATACGTGTACCGATATAGTGTATAATATAATAAACGGCCAGGCTTATTATACATCCAATAATCAAAGTCCTTTCATCCATATGATAACTATGCACTTTATAACCATGATACATATGGCCATTATCCATGCACCATTTATTACTGTATATTGTGAGCTTGAAGTCGTAAGTGATATTAAGTTTATAAATAACTTTTTCGATCTCGGAACTTTGTTGAGACGTACATGCTCCCTAATTTAAAAATATAATTATTACTTACAAAACAATTATTTGAACTTAGTTTTCATACGAATAGTAAAATACTTTTATATATTTTAAATTCATAAATTAGTGTAAATAAAATGTAATTAATGAAAAATCTTGATCAATTTTTAAATATTACATACATAATTTTGCTTGACACAATCAATTAATTTAAAAATTGCCTTGCACATTTCTGAATAATCAAGGTGGGCTAGTTCAATCTCACAATTTAAGGAATTTAAGCACTTTTGAGGATCATGGTCACTATTGACCGTTGTATCAATGAACGTTAAATCTGTATTAATTAAACTTGATCGTTCAATTTGTTTAAATGTGATATATCCAACATGGCTAGTTGTGGCCATTATCATGGTACATAACACTATGAAAACAGGAATTTAAATTAAACTATTCATTATTTAATTTAAATCTTAAATCATTTAGCTAAAGCATAAGAAATAAACTAAGTTCAAAAATCATTTAACTTCACATTATTCAGTTAATATAAGTGAGTCATTTAATTTATATTATAAAAATATTTATTTCATATTTACAAGTTATAAAAGTATAACAAGGATTAGATAACATATTGTTTAATTATTTAATTACTTTATTTGTTACAATATGTTTTAGCTTAGTAGGTGTTACATTAATGATAATTTTCAACGTATGATTAATAAAAGTAAACTACTAATTTAATAAATTTTTTATTAATTTTAATTTCTTAATTAATTTTGAAGTTTTAATTTCTAGAGGATTTTATAAAAGTTCATATTTATAATTCACATTTAATAAATTAAAATAATGTAAACTTATTTATCAAACTTATTATAATATAATATATTATTATGTTTAACATAATTGTATAAAATATTGCATATTTTGTTGTGATATAAAAAATCGTGTTCAATTAAAATAAAATGCAAATAATTTTTATTTCCAACAAATTAATCCTATTTTAGGATACATAGTTATTAATAATTTATAGTAAAAACAAATTATAAGATTAATAATAGTATTGAGGGTAAGGACTGTATTGAGGGTAAGGATTATAATTCAAATAAGGATTATATTGATTATATGGGGGTCTCAGGAATCCGGGATATGAAGGACTTGAAAATCCTGGATTATTTGATACAGGGTAACCTGGGCCTGGCATTGGGTAGGTTGGTCCAGTACAATCTTGCTGAGGATGTTTAGTAATTTCATCAATCCAAGCTCTAAAATGTGGTACATAGGCAAACACATTGGGAATATTTTCAGCTAGGTCACTTGATGGGTATGTAGATGCCACACCCACTACTTGACCATTGACAGCCAGTGGATTACCGGAATCGCCCTGGTCATAAATAAATAAAATTTATAAATTTTTATTCAGAACAAATGCAATAATATTAAATTAATTAAAATATAAATATATTAACAATGTAGAATAATATTAATAACTTACCCAGGCAAGACTTTGTTTGGTTGGTAGTGTGCAAATGTTTGTACCATCGATATGTCCGCCATAACGTTGCATACCATACTCGCATCTAGCTTGATCAATTACGATATGCTGCGCATATAGTAACATATCTGGGCCAGAATTCATGTCGGTGCTATTAGTATTGCCCCAACCGGTGACAATTGCCCTTGCACCACTTGGCGGGTAGCTGGTGGCCAGTGTAGCAAATTTGACCGTGCTACTCTCGCGAGCAGGTATTGCTAGTTTGCACAGGCACAAATTGTGCGAGTGCGTACCTCGCTCATATTGCGGATGAATAATCATCTGACTAATATTCGATTGAAACGGCATAATAGTATGGTTTAGGTTCCCGTATTTTATGTAGTTGGCAATTTGCAAGTTACTTTTGATAATGGCCCTGATACAATAAAAATAAAATTAATTAGAATATTTATATAAAACTGTCAAGGTAAATAATGACTTACTCATCGCAACAGTGGCCAGCAGTTAGAACCCATTCCTTGTTTAATAGGGAACCGCCACATAATAGCCAGGCATCGGATCGACGTTGCACGAATAAAACTTGCCATGGTGCTAAATTTTGGTTAGCATTTTCACCCTGGACCAACCTTTTAGATCTCACATTATCAAGACTTTGCACATTGGCTATAGCTAGCACAATTATAACATTTGCGTATATTAGCTGGTTCATAGTTATAATAAAACTACTCTATTTTGAACTTTATTTTTATAACTATTTCAATTAAGCTTGATTGTTATCTGTACTAGTTTATATAGCAAAAGAGTTTATTCATTCTGCGCATCTATCCGGGAACAATTTTATTTTTAGAAATAATTTTAATTAATTAATCATAAAGCAGTTGTAATTTTGTACTAGTGGTTATTAAAATAATATATAAGTTTTAAAATAATATATAAGTTTTAAAATAATAAATGTAGTATAAAACTAATAATGAGTTTAAAAATATTAATTAAAAATATTTATTAATTAAGGTGTTGTGGTACATGTAGGTTTACACTATATTTTTGTGCCAGACCAAATGTGTGAACTCATTAATAATATATCATATTTTATAAGTTACGCGTTTGATATAAAATATCTGTTCTGGCACAAATGAGTGCAGTTTCACAACTAGTGATTTATGATAAATAAAACCTTTTAGATATTAAGTTTATTTATATGAATTAACTATTTAATAATTTAACTACACGATATTTAATATACTCAATATTTATTAATTGTACAAGATTATTCATTAGAATATATAAGTTATTATAATGCTGTTATAAACACAAAGTAGCCATTATTTATATTTTAAATATTAATTTAGTTTTAATTTAAGCCATATATTATAAGGTATAAATACAAATTGTTAAAATAAAATATTAAATAAATTCTATTTTTAATTGTCTTATCAAGTTTATATTTAAAATATTTTTAAAATTATGACACAATATAAGAGAATAATATATTAATTAATAATTAGAATCATCAGGGTGAGGGTTCGATAGCCATTCAAATATATAGCCGCGACCATTAAAATCAGTGACCAATTCGTCATCAATATAAGCTCGGACCAACACATAAAAGCCATAGGGCCTAGTTTCACCAGGGTTATATATCAAACGCACTTGATACTCAATGTGAGCGTTACGACCGCCATTTTGCTCAAGGAACTCTACCGCGAGTCTGGCAAAATGTTCATGGCAATATTCCACATTAGTTGCCGGATTCTGTGGGAATACGTTATACTCCAAACCACCACCAAATACAATTGGTAGAATATGACCAACTTGATCACTTTTCTTTTTACCTTGTAACCCAATCTCATTTATTAATTCACGATAAGCAGGGGTAACCTCCTGCCCCTTACGTAAATCGTCAAACTTAACTACCGATCGTGAATAATGGATGATCTTATTGCTATCGATCACTTGATAAGCTACCTCCTTAATCGGACCATGCTTACTCAATTTAATCACTTTGGTACCCTTGTTTAGCATGGCTTTACGTTTATCAAGGTCAGTTAGCACGGTATCCTCATCCGGTTTTTCTCCTTCGTATTCCGGGTTACTTATACTGAACTCATCGTAGTCTGAATCATCTTGTTGACTTTGTGTTTGACTTTTTTGTTGAAATTGCACAGATGCCTTTCGAACAGCATTAGCTTGTTTAGGGTTTTCCTTTTTTATCTTGTTCATGTTCATGTTGTTTAACATTATAAAATACTAGTAAAGTTAGTAAAATAATATTTCGTTTACTGAGTTGCTATTTAATTGCTTAAAAATAAATATCAATATTTTACCTTGACCCCGATGTACCAGTACTGGCTGCAGTGCCTGTGCTAGTTGTTTTTACTCCACCACCGCACACTAATTGTTCGCCAGATTTCACCTGGGACACTACCGGTATTTAATTAATGTTACCCATTTAATAATATCTAATGTAACAACTTAAACAATAAAAATTATTTAATAAGTACTATCAAGTAATCTAAACAATACTAACTAACAAATAAAATGTTTACAAATATTACTATTATTGGGTATTGCTGTTAATGTTGTATAGTCACAAATTATATTTAATATTACAATAATTTTTACAAAAAATACTTATAAATATAAAGGTCTACAAGTAATCAAATTAACCCATTGAACAACTAATACTCAGTTAATATTTAATATTATTGAATAATAGTTGATATTATTCACAATTAAATCAAACATTCAAGGTTAAATATATATTTACATTTTAAAAACCAAACACTGCCGTACTGGTAAAAGTTATGTCTCAATATATTGTATGACTTAAATGTATATTGGAGTCTGTTTACAGTATATGTATAGTAAAGTGAAATAGTTTTAAAGTTATGTGTTAAATATCACGTATGCCTAGTGTTGCCAATACTTTTTTCGAGATTGGAGGACAGACAGGAAAATTAGGCATTTTTCTGGAGGAGAATTGGAGGACATTATTATTTTAAATATTAAAATTTTATCTTTATTTGATTAAACTATATTTTTGATCAATCTTAATCAATTTATCTTATATTTAGTGATTTTCTTAGAATTTTATACAGTATTATAAACACAATTAAAACTTGGTGTTGCTATAATCTCCAACATATACATTTTCAAAATTATGATCCTCCAAAATTACATAAATATTTTAATTAAAATTCAAATTATAGCTAATACAGCTAAACTTATTATTAAATAATATTATAGTATTAAATTTTATAAGTTATAAGAGTATTTAAATGAATAAAACCTTTACTGGTAGAATTTTAGTCAATTTGATATCAATAAGTAATTAATAGTTTATTATTGATTTTTATGAAATTACTGTTATCTATTAAAGATACTGTATATATTTGCACTCAATAAATTTATAATCTTTGGAAAATAATAATGTGTTAAAAGTAAGCATTATATCTAGGGTTACAAATAAAGTTTTAAATAATTTAAGTAAATTCTTGTGGAGGACATTACATTGTCCTCCACAACCCCTCTGAAGGACTGTTCCCAAACGGGCCGATTGGAGGAGAATCCTCCAGAGTGGAGGAGGTTTGGCAACGCTACGTATGCCACATGCTATATAACTTTAAAAAGTTTATTATAGCTCAATGACAAATTTTATTGACTAAACTTAAGCTAAAAAATAAATGTATCTAAAAAGCAAAAGTTTTTATTTAATTTTAATGAATATACTTAATAGATGTTTAGCCACTATATATAAGAAATTGATTTTATTTTTATTAAGTTACAAAAATAACTCAATGCAAACAAGTTTATTAATTTTATATAATATAATACTGTACAGTACAAGTAACATTTATCAGTTTTTAATATTTAAACATTAAAGACAAAGGTTTCTATGTTTTACAGTATATTTGTATATACAGAAAAGGATCTTTGTTATTAAAATGTAAATTATAAGAATATTAAACATTAATCTCATTATTTGTAAGCATTTTTGAAAAATAAATTCTTGATATTTTAAGTTGTACTGTTTTAATTATTTAAAGTTAATTGATAAATATATAGTTAGTTATTAAACATATTTTTTCAAAATATCATTTTAAACCAGACACGTTTATATTAAAATGATTTTAAAAATAAAATAATAATATTGAATGAAACTAATAAATGCAAATATTTATTATTTTAAAAACTTTAATATTTTTATAAATTATATTGCTTAGATTTCATGCTACAGTATCAATAATAATAACCCATTATTCATTTTAAACAAAATATAATATTAAAAATAATTTTGTTCGTATGGATTGTAATTAACATACTTAAGGTTGTAAATGTTATTCGTGTAAAAATCATAACTTAAATAACTTTGTGCACCAAATCGGCAAACATGGTGGCCGACAGCCCTAACCATATGCCCAATAAACCGCCAAAGTTGGACACAAAGTCAATGAACAGTAATTGGGGCCTGGAGTTGAAAATATAATCTGACTTTCCACCGTGTCTCGCCAGAAAACCTTGAACATTTGACGCATAATAATCGACAACGTGATAAATTGTCTGACAATCGTGCGGGCATTTTAATTTGCAAATTCTGCGCCTCGTAGCTATTATTGTGGCATCTTGGCCATTCAAAAGACTGCTGACATTTTGGCAATATGTTGATGCTGAATTTTGTTCGTATGACACGGCGGGCCATAGGGTATCATAAAGTGGGAAAAAGGCGCATGATCCATTTGTTAACATCATATTAGCTTCAAGTAAACAACTTGCGCGACAATAATATTGCGAGTGACCCGGGTCGTATTGCCTACAATTTAGTGCCCCATAATTTGGCTGCAAACGAGTGATGATCGTATAGTAGCTATGAGTATAACTATAAAATAAATGGTGGTAATGTTCGCCAGTGAATGATGGTAGATTGGCTTGCGAGTGCAGTGTCGCGACAATTAAAAATTTTTCTGGATTAAATTCACCTATTAAATTTGTAATAATTGAACTATGCCCTGTCCATGTGTTCCGCGATTAGCGATTGAGCATGCTGAAATACGTAAAACATTTTAATTGATTATTCAACTGAATCACGTAAGATTGAAAAGGATCATTGTCCTGATACGATTTAAATGCATCATCATATTTTAATGTAAGAACATTTCTAGAGGGCAATGAATTTGATCTTGGCAGGTTAAGATCAGTCATATTACGTTCGATATAAATTTTTGCTATTTTATATTAATTATTCAGTCCACTATTGACAAATTCCCCATAGACTTAACATGGGATATTGGGCACACTGTACGAAACTTCCCCATAGGATTAACATGGGGATTTTGGGCACATTGGTCGTACTTTTTCGACCACATGTCCCTCAATGTCCACTTTTAAGCGTAACGCTATGGGATTTTTTGGTTCCGCAACCTACATTTTTTAGTACACCCGTCATGCACCATCATTATACACCATTTCCCATAGGTTTAACATGGGCCTGAAAGCACAGCGTCATTACGTCATCGAAAACACATTTGCCCACTTTTGCTGGGATTTTTGGTAGGAAAGACAAAGTCCTAATAGGCTAAACTGTCAAAAAACCCCATGTTAAGTCTATGGGAAATGCAATTTGACTGTCATCAGCGTCATTAATGATGGGGTGAGGGAGGGCGACAAAGTGATCCTATAATACGCCTTCATTCCTATACGGAAAAGCGTATA